ATTTACGAACCGAGGCCCCACACTCGACCTCCGAAAATATAAAAATATCCGTGGAGCACATCGAATTAATCCCGGGCATCGTTCGCACTATCTCGAACGTGTACTCATCAAGCTCAAGCATCGGGAGCACGGGCTTAGGCACACTAAACTCCTCCAAATGGTCACGATCCTCTATAATACGAAACGACGACCCAAAGGACATAGGAACCACGTCATACTCAACATCACAAGTCGACTCATCAATCAATGCACACCTCGGGTCAATGACATCACATAATAGCTCGGAATCCTCCTCAACAGCGTCAACAAAATCATCAACTACCACATTCTCCTCCTCAATATCATCCTCCCGAGCACTATCAACATCGTTCGACACAATCGAATCCTCAAATGAATTCTCTCTCATCCCATACACCATACCAACACCTGAATCCACACACTCACTCTCATCCTCAATAATCGAATCAAAGCTCATAGAACTATCACCGAAAGAGAAATTTGACGTACCTTTCGTAGATTGCAAGTCCGAGTCGTCAAGAGGGGAAATTTCTTTAACAATCAAATCGTCGATGTCCTCACTCGTGTCGAGAGATTGCATTCCATCATAAACGAAAGTGAGGCCCACCTCTTTTAAGGAGGCAAACCTATCCACTATAACTCGAAACTCTCCTTATAACCGGGTGCTCTATCGAATAACTCTCACCGACAGTGAACAATATCTACCGAGCAGAATGTGCAATGCGTCCAAGTCAAGAAAGGATACCACGGTAGAGTCGAATTTCTCAAGTGTAGCTTGAAGAACGGATGGAATCGGAATGCATCTCCAACTATAAAACTCCTCAATGATCGACATGAGGCTCGCAAGTGCCTCTTGAGTGCTCGTCAAAACCTCTTGGTGACGTTCTGAATGCGAAACCATGGTTGGAAATGAAGCTCCGGAAATCGAGGTACAAGGTTGGCCAACCGATAGGTGCTCTAATCGTAGAGAGGGTGTAGCAAGGGACTCGGTTTCTTTTTTCTCGGATATGAGAGACATGGAAGCGCGAAGGGATCGATTGCACTCTTATAAATGCTCCATGATCTCGGCTAGATTGACTCGAGAAGCTTCTCGAGTCGGCTCGGGTGGAGGTGTCTCTTCATAAATGGGAGGCGGTGGGTAGTAGTGAGGTGTCTCGTCATGACCCGGAGAGTAATAACCAAAATCGACTTGAGATGGCGGGTAAGAGGGGCTCGAATATGGATATGGCGGCCCTCCATATAAATACATCTCCTCATGGTAGTTGTCGGGGTATCCACGAGACGAGCTACCGGCATAAGAATAGCCGTATGGATCCATCAGAGCTCCTCAAGCGATACCTCGCACAAGAAAAACAAAACAACCCAAAGGCACACGAGGCAAATGAAAAGAAAACACCAAAACACAACTAACACGACATGATATTTACACGAACACACAAAGCAAAAGCAAGAGAAATGGAAAATAAGCAAATAATAAAGAGAAACACGCGAAAAACAAGCAAAATCCACAAAAAGCAAGAGAAACACAGAAACAAACGACAACTAGATAGCAAACTTGGCATCCTACTCGCCTTCCCCGGCAACGGCGCCATTTTATTTGTAGTATATTTGGGCATGTGGTAACCGAGCTACCCGACTCGGGTCTTTCTCAAAGGAAGGCTCTTCGAAGCTTTGTTCACTACCTAGTCGTCAAAGTCACACAACCGAAAACATCCTAAACATGCTAATCGCTTGAATTGAGGGGTTCGATTTAAGCTAAACTATTCTACGAAATTGAGAGCATTGAAAGCAATTAAAGCACGCAAGAAGATGAGAGAAATCAAGGGGGAAAGAGAGATTTTGGTTCGCCGGAGTCACTATGATCAAACACGCACATATAACCAAACATTGCCATGCTAGCTAAAACCCTAGGTAGCTAAACCAAACTCTAGCACAAACGAGCAAGCATTTAACTCCTAGTCACACTTAGTCAAGCATTCTCGATCCAAAGATTCAATCTTTTCCTCCAACCAACACAAGCACAATATCAATTTTCACGAAAGCAAACAAAGATATACGAAGTAATGAGGCATAAGACTAAGTACCCACTCTTACACGAACTTGGAAGAAGAAACAGAGCCAAAAGCTCGAAACTTTACTCGAAATAATGTCGCCGGAAATTTGCCGGAAAACTTGATTCATAAGCTCCAAACCAAAATATAAAAAAGGAAAAAAAGAAAATAGAGAGGAATTCCCAACTTAAAAGTTGGGAAAATGAGGGTTGTCCCCAAAAATACAAACCATAATGTCTTTATATAGCTACACCACAAACACATACTAAAAAAATGCACATTTAATAGGACACTTTCGAGGTCGCCACAGAATTCGTGAGCTCGCCGCAAGGATGCACATGGGCACGACACTCTCGAACGCGTGACAGTATCCACGAGCACGCGGGCATTGGCAGCTGACGGGCGCACGGGCGCGGTAGCAGGTAGCAGCACTCTCGACGTCGCCATGTCTCCCGCGTGGTCGCGCGTGTCGTGGGCAATGGCACCGCGGCACTCTCGAGGTCGCCGTGCTTTCTGCGAGCACGCGGCGTGCGCTGGGCACTTGGGCAACAACACTCTCGAGCTCGCCATGCTTTCCGCAAGCACGCGGCGTGCGCTGGGCGCTTGGGCAAAAACACTCTCGAGCTCGCCATGCTTTCCGCGAGCACGCGGCGTGCGCTGGGCGCTTGGGCAAAAACACTCTCGAGCTCGCCATGCTTTCCGCGAGCACGCGGCGTGCGCTGAGCGCTTGGGCAGCAACACTCTTGATGTAGCTCAGCGATAAACAATAGGAAAATAAGAGATGAAA